TCATATGTTTAAAATTTCATAAAGCCAATTTTATAAATTTTTAATCACTTGTTCTAATTCTTAAATCAGATGTTCTAACATATTACTCACACAAATGTTCTAAATTATTACTTATATGTTCAAAATTTTAATTTGAGTCACATGTTCTAAATTTTAACTCGTATGTTCTAAATTTTTACCCACATATTCTAAATTTTAAATCAGTTCTCATATAAGTATGAATTCTCACATATGGACCTATTCTCACCGGATCCCTCCCATATATATATATATATATATATATATATGTATATATATATATATAAATATATATATATATATATATATATATATATATATATATCATTTTAGCAATTTAAACACATACAAATTTTACAATAGTTAAGAACCAGTTAAAACTGGCTACATAATTAGCCCAAACTACTTAATTAACTTTCAGTTAGTATTATAATTACCTACATAATTAAACATATGTTTTATTCATGTACTGGCACCAGGTACCGCAAACAAACTCTTCGCCGTGGGGTGCCGCGACTATCCCCGATTCACCGGAAGCATTGACACTGGCTTGGTCACATTGACAGATGACGGAACTGCCTCATGTAGAACCAACTGCAGCTCAGGGGGCAACAATGTCGTCGCAAGCGAATGCAATGGCATAGGGTGCTGCCAAGCCAATATTCCCAAGGGAATGAGGTCTTATACTGTGACTCATGATACTTTCGACAGTAACCACTCAACCATTACAATCTTACAACCCTTGTGGGTACTCATTCGTCGCAGACCAAGAGAGTTTCAAGTTTCGAGGGATGAAAGATCTTAATGACCCTAACTTTATAAATAGGACAGCGTATGATGCTCCTTTGGTGCTCGATTGGGTGGCTTCTAATAAAACGTGCGCTAATGCTAAGCGCGATCTTGATTCTTATGAGTGTAAGGAGAATACTATGTGTGTAGATGCTACTGATAGCGGTATTGGAGGGTATCGTTGCAGTTGTCTTCCTGGTTATCAAGGTCATCCTTACCTTAGTCCGGGATGCACAGGTAAGATAACTAAATTTATGAACATTGTTATACTCCGTATTTCTGTGTAACTTACTTATGTGATTAAGATTTTGATTTATTGATCGATAATGGTTACTACAAACGATAGTTTGGGCCTATTTTTACTTTTTATTTTTCGTTTTTGTTTAACTAATAGGGTATAAAATCGTTTTGACTTTTTTAAATGGTGAAATGTATTCTCCTCAAAATCAATAAAACTTTTCCTCATTTACCTGTATTGGACATTCATATAGTTAACACATTGTTAGTAAATGTGTCTGAATGTGTTATTTTTCGTTATTTTGTTAACATACATTGCATTTCTTGTAATGGTATTTGGATATATATCAGACCTTATGCGTTGACATTTGGGTAAATCATGCACTAAGTAGACTAAATCTTTTGTCAATTCCATGTACAATCACATACATCATCAAATGATGGCCTGGATAAGAGAATAGTGATACACTACCTTCGTTAACATTTAGTTGTAACTTTGGAATATTTTATATCTTCGAATAATACCTCAAAATTGCAACTAATGTTAACAGAGGTAGTAGATAAAGACTGTAGATGTTTATTAATTTTTTTTTTTTTTTTTTTTTTTTTTTTTTTATACAATTTGTTGAGTTTGCTCTTTCTTATTTGTTGGCAGATATAAATGAATGTGAAGATCTCGATAGTAGTCCCATGCACAATGAAATGTAAGAACACTCTAGGAAACTAACACTTGTTCTTGCCCGTCTGGATATATCGGCGATGGTAGAAAAAAATGGGACTAGTTGCAACCCACAGTTTCCTGCTTTGAAAGTTGGCTTAGGTAATGTCTATTTATGAACACTTTGTTTGCAATATCATATATACTTACACTGTTTCTCTTCACTTGAAACAAGGAGATTTTGCTGATTTTATTAAACTCTAATCTAGTCCAATATGAATTTTTATTATTGGTTTGATCTGATCTGATTTAATAAATTGATTTAACTTTGACCGCATTTTAATACTAATCTATGAAAAAAACATCATAATATGGATCTTGTTAAATTTGTCTCATAAAGAAATTTTTCAAATATGTAATTTTCATAATAATTTTTTAATACGCAATTAATCATAAGCTATAAGTAAAATGATAACTAAAAGTTTTTAATATGATTGAATTTATTAAGGCATAAGTATATGAAACAAGTTAAAATGAATAAGTTCTTAACATATGATGACCCGATAATTTTTAAACATTAATTTGTATTTTGTACGTATTCATGATGGTACAGGTGTTGGATTAGGCTCCTTATCTTTACTCCTCACTTTGAGTTGGGCATTCTTGGCTAGTAGAAAAAGAAACCTTACGAAAATGAAGGAGACGTTCTTTCAAAGAAATGGAGGGTCGCTATTGAAGCAACTAATTTCTCCTAATAAACAAGACGACGTGGAGCAAGTGAAGGTTTTTACCATAGACGAGCTTAAGGTAGCCACCAAGAACTTCAAGGAAGAGCGGATTGTTGGTAGAGGTGGTTATGGACCGTTTACAAGGGATTTTTACCAAATAATCAAGTTGTTGCCGTTAAGAGATCAAAGTTTGTGGATGAAGATCAGATTGAACAATTTATTAATGAGTTGATCCTCTTGGCTCGAATTAGACATCCTAATGTGGTACGGCTTATAGGATGTTGTTTGGAGGTTGAAGTCCCGTTGTTGGTGTACGAGTTTATCTCCAATGGCACACTATATGATCATATTCATAACAGAAACGGAACGACTTGGTATTCTTGGAGTAATTGTTTGCGCGTTGCCATGGAACTCGGCTAGTGCTCTAACACAATATACATACAATTCCAATATTTCATCGAGACATTAAGTCCGCAAAAACATATTACTAGATGATAGTTACACGGCAAAGGTATCCGATTTTGGAGCTTCGAGGTTGATTCCGTTACATGAGACTCATTTGTCCACCGTGGTACAAGGTACACTAGGATATCTCGATCCAGAGTACTTTTTTTTCGAGTCAATTAACAGAGAAAAAGTGATGTTTATAGCTTTGGTGTGGTTCTTTGTGAACTCTTAACAAGGACAAAGCCACTTTTAACGCAGAGACAAAGTGAATCACAAAACCAAAATTTGGCAAACATACTTTGTCAAGTCTATGCAATTAGACAATTTGTTCAATATTTTGGACCCTCAATAGTTATTGAAGCAACTAAAGAGCAATTAATCACGATTGCAAAGCTTGTACAACGATGCTTAAGTGTTCAAAGGAGATGATAGGCCGACAATGAAAGAAGTAACAAAGGAATTGGGAGATTTATGGAGGCAAACAATTTAAATTACATGGCACCGGGCAAGAATCTTGATTATGATCATATGGGCTTCAATTGTACTACGAGTGTTTAATATAGTTCTATGAATTTTGTTATTGAATTTGTTGTTAGTTTTAAGCAGAAAAACAACCGATCAAATAGTGAAAATAATGATCAAATTGTAAAATAATACTACCCTCCAGTTTTTTTAGTTGCAACTTGGTATTATTTGAGAGAGATAAAATATTCCAAAGTTGCAACTAAAAAAAATCGGAGGTAGTACAATTGTAATGAATTGAAAAAACAATGAAGAAAAGAACGTCCAAATTTTATATTGAATCTTGTTAAATAAGAGAAGGTAAACATGACTTGAGCCCTTCATATGAGAGCATGTCGGAGACCTAATTGGTAAGAATAGGCTAGTTGAATTTTGTGGAAATGTGTATCGCAAATTCTAATCAACAATCTCCAAATCTATTATCAACAAGATCCCAAATAATTCTTGTATGTCGTTCTTGTTTAGTGTTGTAAGAGTTTTTTAGTTTTATCTATCCCACATAAACCTTAGAATATTACATAGTATTATTAACTTAAAGGAAAAGTTGTCAGAAAGGTACGTATATTAACATTTTTGTGAAGAAGTAAAGCCTTAATTATATGTTTAAAGTGGTGAAAAATATCCTTATAAGGACCTCAATGTCAGAATATGACAATTCACTTCACATTTCAGGCGTTTACCATCATGTGGTTAGCACTGATGTTTAAAAAACGCCCTTTTTATTTTTTTTTTTTTTTAAACAATAACATGGTAACACGTAGCAGTATTGTAGAACCCTCTTAATGGGCTTTTGTATGAAAACTATTAAGTGGTGGTAAAATCAATTTTTTTGTACTATTTTGTGGTGTTAAGGTAAAAGTTATTTGTTTTTAATTTTTTTTTTGTAATATTAAAAAACATTATTAAAAAACATTTGAATGCTTTTTTAGGGTGTTAAAAATTAGCATACTCCGTGTAACAAGAATGCCCAAGTGACTAGATTCTTCAAGGCAAATACTTAGCATGACTAAATAAATTGATAAGATCAAATGATAAATTAGTTAACGTCACTGTTATAGTTGGCGTCACTGTTAGGTCTATGATGATGTTGTATTGATATGCATATGCTCTTGTAGTGGTAGGCAAGTTTTTAGCAGGACGGCATATATAATAGCTGCACATTTGACCTCGACGTAGCTTGCTGGCCATGTTCCGTTGAACCTTAAAACCTAGATTTAAAAAAAAAAAAAAAAAAAAAAAAAAAAAAAAAAACTATAAATTCATGATAATAATTGAAGTCCCTTCTTTTTCCTTTTTAATATACTTCATTCGGACTTGAAAATCCAAATAAAATATAATAATAGTTTTAAAACAACTATTAAACATTTTAATTATAATACAGGTATATAATTATATGTATGTTCAATTATAAGGTTAGATGTTTGTTTATGTTTATGTAACTATAAAATGATAATATACTTTAAAGTTGGTAAAAACAAGGACCTACTTTAATTTCTGACACTAATTTATTTGTATGAACAATAAATGAGAAATAAACAAATAAAGAACGGAGGGAGTATATTAGCTAGCTAGTACGTGTAATTGACTAGGTGAGTGCTTGATTAAAATTACATGGATGACCTTATAATTGTAATTATAATTATAATTATAAAACTTAAACATTCTTCCAAAGTCGTATAAGAACATGGTTGTAACTTCTATTATAGCTTAATAGCTTCTCAATGGCCTGGAAAATAATTTGTTCTCTTCATCTTCTTTTCTACACATCTCTTTCTCTAATAAGTTTGACAACTAGTCAAAATAATGCTACCTTTCTAGGCTGGAAATGTATAGACTCAAATGGCATTGGCAACTATACTAAAAATAGCCTTTTCCATTCGAACCTCTTAAATGCCTTATCTAATCTTACCTCCCTCTCCTCTTCCAATATCTTCTCCAACTACTCTGAAGGAGTACGCGAGGATGCTGCAAACGAAGTCTTCGCCTTATACGACTGTCGAAACGATCTTCCACTTCGAACATGCCATGATTGCGTTGAGGAAGCCACAAAGAATCTCTTGGAGATTTGCACCTCCAAAGAGGCCATAGCCCACTATGAGGTATTGGTGTTCATAACAATTTAAAGAATATACTCCGTACTTTATAAAAGTTCCCTATTCGTTTTTTTTACCTACCTGCTCCATATTTATTTGATTTGTTTCTTCTTTTTCTTCTTCTTCTTATTAGAATTATGCATATAAGCATTATTATTTTTTTTTACATATAAGCATTAAATTTACAGTTGAAAATCGTAAAAAGTTAAGAAATCATAAAAATATTAACATTAATTACACTGATTTACGCGTGTTTTTATCATGAATTCCTAACTTTATATAATTTCCAAGAATGTATTTAATGCATATATATAGCCGCAATTTCTACCCTACTCCTGGAGTACTGTGAGCATGATACTCCAGGGGTCAAACGATGTCGTTCTATTATCTATCCCTACCTTCTTCTTTGTTTTCCCCTTTTTCTTCTTGCTATACTTTGTGTCCTGTATTTTTTTTTTTCAAATTTCAGTGAATTTCTTCATCCCTGTTTTCCTCTTTTTCTTCCTGCTATTCTTTTTTTCCTCTATTTTCTTTCAATTTATGTGAATTCAATCAATTTTTTTCTTTCAATTGCAATTTTTGAAAAATAAAAATAGCACTAATTTAAAATAGAATAACAGAAGATATGGTTTATTTGAATATCACATGTTTAGAACAAAATAACAATAGACTTTAAATAGAATAACATCAATTTGTGTACAAAGTAACACAAAGTTTAACCTAAAATAACACATAACTTGATAACTGAATAACTTAACTTCTATTAAAAATAACATAAGATAACTCAAAGGTTAAGTAGAATAATAAAGGATACATTAAAATAACAAAACAGCACAAATTTAGGATTTCATTAAGATAACACATAATAAAAATAAAATAACATTAGGCTTAAAACAAAATATCATCATTTATGAAACAAATTAAAAAAAAAATGATGTTTTAGAAAAACGTTAAATAATTCTGCCAAAACAAATCTACTTTCAAAAACTAAAACAACACATGACGATCAACCCAAAATAACATTAGATTTTAAGTAGAATAACATTAGATATTAAGGAAAATAACATCATTTTAAAGAATAATATTAACAAATTAAAACACATTTTAGAAATATAGATCCGACTTCACAATCAAAATAACATAATATGCGATGCTGAATAACATAAGCCTAGAAACAAAATTGATCAAAATAATAAGAACTTATCTATAATTTTTGTGTCCAAAAAAACACATTTTCGAATAGTATGTGTCCAAAAAAAAAAAAAAAAAACAAAAATTTATCTGAATAGTAACTTGTAGTTTGTAAAAATACCCCATTCGTCCTATTTAATTTTTTTAGGTCAAGCTTATAAACATTTTACATACTTCGTATGACTTCTGTTAAAAATACTTCAAATATAGTTTCATCTCAATATACAGATATAGATAGATGTGCATTAGTCATAAAAAACAAACAGAAATATTATGGTGGGACCAAATGAATAATTAATTTTTTTCCTAGCTAATGAACGAACTTACAACTACAATGATTCTCTATGGCAGCAATGCATGTTACGCTATGCAAACCGTCCAATCTACAACATCATGGAGTTGAAGCCCCAACTTTATTTCTGTGAGATCAGTATACCTGATGGAGGCGAGTTAAATCGAACCGTTGAACCGATCTTAAAAGGACTAATAGATCAAGCTACAATGGAGAACTCATCGCGCTACTTTGGACTAGGAGACGAGAGTTATTTTGAGTATCAGAGAGTATATAGTATGGTTCAATGTACTCCTGATATAAGTAGGGAGCAATGCAAAGAGTGTTTGATGAATTCCTTGAATTACACCCTTCAATGTTCAAATGGTAGTATGATGTCAAGTTATCACGGCGTGCCAAGTTGCTTTATGAGATACGATTTTGTATCTTTCTACAATATATCGTCACCAAGCCCTTCACCAGTTCCTCTCATGGCTATCAATCAGTCAACACATTCAAGGACTACTAGTAATAATGGAGGTCAACGTTTGTATTCTACTAGAAACTTACTTTTTATTTTCTGCTTTTCTTTTTCTTTGGTAATCATGCATGTGATGTTATAACATTGTTTCTTAGAAGGGGAGTATTCTTAGAGAAAATATGTACGATTACTTGTATATTTATGGTCAAATTAGGTCATTGTCACAAATATAGTTTTAAAAAGGTTGATCTTAATTTGCAAACTTGAACGAACTTATGGTCTTTTCCATTTAATGATCTTACCTTTGAATATCCTGCTAACATACCGATTTGGACTGTATCCGCACACTATTAGTAGTACTATTTGCTTATTTGTAGGATTGGTTAGTTCATTCAACTACCTTGACGGCTGGTGGTTGAAAATCAAATTACAATTTTTTTTTTTTTTTTTTTTTTAAAAAAAAAGTTTATATTTACTACACAGAAAAACTATACCAATAAATAAATATGAGCTTTATGTTTGTTCTTTACTTTCCTTATTATTATCAAATCAGGAACTCGATGAAGAAAATTTTGGATGAGTAAAAAACTACTAAAAATTTAACTCGACGTACTACCTCCGTTACATATTATTTACAACGATTAGACATTTTTCCTCTCTACTTTATATCAAATCGTTGCAAATAATATGTAACAGAGGTACTATATAAGTTATAAACTTTGGAGATGTGACAGTCGACACATACCATGATACCAGTAATATATAACACAATAAAAAAAGTTAAAAACTTCTTCAAATGGATCTCGTAATATAAATGGTACAATGTGCTATAATTCAGAAGCTTTTTGCTGATCATTGTACGTCTATAAGCTATCTATAAATATGGTGCCCTCCTGATTCTCGCTCGGGATTATGTAAGTTGTTTGCTTCCATAATTCTCCTAGATCCATGGCCACTTCTTTCATCGTCGGCCTTTCTTCACCCTTGATACTTAAGCATCGTATTACAAGCTTTGAAATTGAGATTAGTTGCTCTTTAGTCGCTTCCATAATTAATTGAGAATCTAAAATGTTAAATAAATTGTCCTCGTGCATTGACTTTATAAAGTATGTTGCCAAATTTTGAATTTGTTCTTCATTTTCCCTCTCCGGTGATAGTGGCCTTATCCTTGTTAAGAGTTCAGCAAGAACTACACCAAAGCTATAAACATCACTCTTTTCCGGTAACTGACTTGAAAAAAAGTACTCCGGATCAAGATATCCTAGTGTACCTTGGACAACAGTTGATAGATGGGTTTCATGTAATGGAATCAATCTTGAAGCTCCGAAATCAGATATCTTTGCTGTATAGCTATCATCGAGTAAAATGTTTGAGGACTTTATGTCTCGATGAATAATTGGTATTGAATGTATATATGCCAATGCATTAGCTGAATCCATAGCAATCCGCAAACAATTGCTCCAAGAATACCATGAAGTTCCGTCTTTATTATGAATGCGATCAAATAATGTACCATTGGAGATAAACTCGTCAACCAATAATGGAACTTCAACCTCGAGACAACAACCTAGAAGTCGTACCACATTAGGGTGTCTTGTTTGTCCAAGAATGTTCAATTCATTAATAAATTGTTCAATCTGATTCTCATCCACAAACTTTGATTTCTTGACCGCAATAATTTGACGGTCCAATAAAATGCCCTTGTAAACGGTACCATAACCACCTCGACCAATTATTTGTTCATCTTTAAAGTTCTTGGTGGCTACCTTCAACTCATTGATCGTAAATACTTTTAGTTGATGTTGCGATTTGGGGTTGATTAATTGCTTCTATAGCGCCCCTCCATTTCTTTGAAAGAACGTCTCCTTTACTTTCATAATCCTTCTTCTTCTTGCCAAAAAAAGCGAACTTCCAACAATGAGTAAAAATAGAGATCCAAAACCAACTCCTGCAACATGCAATGCAACATAATGTAATGTACATATATATAGAAGATTATTCTAAGTATTTCCTCAACTTCATTTTATTTACTTCAAAATTATAACTTAATTCCATTCGTAATATGATTGTACAAAAATATGATTGAACAAAATTTACCTAAGGCAACCTTGATAGTAGGAAACTGTCGCTTGCAGCTGGTTCCGTCAACTCTGCCATCACCGACGTATCCAGTTGGGCAAGAACATGTATAGTTCCCTGGAGTATTAGTGCATTTCATGGAGCAAGGGCTACTATCTAGATCAGTGCATTTATTTATATCTGCCAAAATAACAAATCCTCATTACTGTGAACAATTTGTTGCATTTATGTTTATTTTAATTACTATTTTGAATCATGTGCGATAACTGAATAAATTTATTGTTTAATTAAAATTTCTTTTAATTACTATTTCTTCAAAATTATCACTTAAAAAAACACGGAGGGAGTATATATATATAAAGGCTGCAAATAAGATCCTTTTATCACACTTAGGTTGTAAATAGGATCCTTTATCCGGATTTAGGTCATTGACTTTTTTCCGGTCTAATCAACTTTTAAAAATCTTTAAAAAAAGAAAAAAAAAAAATCTTTTTTCCTTTTTTCGGTTATTCACTTTACCTATTAATTTATGTAATTAATTATATTTTAGGAAAATACAAAAATTTATGTTATGTAATTTAAATTAAGGGTCTGTTCTCTTACGTTGAAATTCAGTCCAGCTCAGTTCAGTTCAGTTCAGCTCAGTTCAGTTCAGTTCAGTTCAGTTTAGTTTAGTTCAGTTCAGTTCATTTCAGTTCAGCTCAGCTCCTAATTTTCTTCTCTTATAAAATATTCATTTCAGTTCAGTCAGTTCATCTCAGTTCAGTTCAATTCAGCTCAATTATGTTCAGTTCAGTTCAGTTCAGCCGAGTTCAGTCAATGAGAACAGGCCTAAGACCCTGTTCTCTCACCTTAAAAAAATAATATTAAGTAAAAATAATTTAAGTTCAGTAAAAATAAGTTCAGTTCAGTAAAATTAATTTCAGCTCAGTAAAAATAATTTCAGTTCAGTAAAAATAAGTTCAGTTCAATAAAATTCAGTTTCTTATAGAAGAATTATATAGAAATCAGTAAAATAATTTCAGTTCAGTAAAAATAATTTCAGTTCAGTAAAATTAAGTTCAGTTCAGTGAAAATAAGTTCAGTTCAGTAAAAATAATTTCAGTTCAGCAAAATTAAGGTAAATCAAACAAGGCCTAAGATTATATCATCAGTTATCATCAAATACCCTATAACATGAATAGTGTCAAATAATGATGCATGCACTCTATCAATAGATCGAGTATTAAACTATATTTGCATGATAATCTATTAAGTTTCCAAATGAGATCAGAGTAGAAAGGAAAGTAGTAAGAATATTTTACCTGAACAACCCGGACTAAGATACGGATGGCCCTTGTAGCCAGGAGCACAAGTGCAACGATACCCTCCAATGCCACTCTCATCGGCATTAACACAAGTAGTATTTTCCTTGCAAGCATAAGTTTCGGGATCAAGTTTCGCATTGGCACAAGTGTCATTAGAAATCACCCAAACTAGTACTAAAGGAGCATCATACACAGTCCTGTTTATAAAGTTGGGATCATTCAGATCTGAAACCCCGCGAAACTTAAAACTTTCTTGGTCTGCCAAGAATGAATAGCCACAAGGATTATAAGAAGACATCGTCGTATGGTTACTTTCGTATTCATGAGAGATTTGGTACTGAATCATTCCCTTGGATATGGAGGTTTGGCAACACCCTACGTTATTGCATTGTCCTGCAACAACGTTTTTGGCTCCGGATTTGCAACTGCTTCGGCATTTAGCTTCATCATCAGTGGTAAAGGAATAGGGTGGGTTTTCAAAGCTTCCAGAGTATCTCGCTAAATCATTGCACCCCACAACAATAGCTTGTTTGCAGCGCCTATATCACAATGCGGAATGCTAGCTTATTCTAAGTTGAATACTACTCCGTAGAAATTGATTAAAGTATATTTCGTGAGAAATTATCAAACAAAACTCAGATTTTGTGTGAAACTACCTAATTAAAATAATATTGTAAGACACTACCTAATAAAAGGTAAAATGTTGTAAAATACTATCACAATTGACCTAATTTTCCGATGTCGACTCACCTTAAAACACCATTGGATCGGAACTATCACCTCGTAGCCCGAAAGTACCCCCACTAACCCAGAATATCCCTAAACCACCTTGAAAACCAACTCTCGATGTAGTTTCAAGGTTATTTAGAGGTGGGTCAACGCCGGAAAGTTTGGTCAACGGAGGAAATCTAGCTATAAGTAGTATTTTACAACATTTTACCTTTTATAAGGTAATTTCTTACAACATATTTTTATTAGTCAGTTTTTAACAAAATTTGGGTTTTATTAGATAGTTTCTCACAAAAAATCTTTGTTAAAACATGCTCTAGATAGTAATTACGGGAAGTGATTTTAAATGTCCAGAATATACTATCTCCTTTTAAACCTTCTTTAGTTCACATTATTTCAAGACCTTATCAATTTTTCATATCAAATCTGAAAAAAAAGTTCATATTAAATTAGTTTAAATAAGCAAAATGAAGGTGAACTAAATAAGGCTTTAATGTTGGATTATTTGCTTAAACTGTACTATTAGTGGTTAGTTAGCACCTAATGTATAAGTATATGCTCTAAAAGTGATTAGTTTGTGTTAGTGGAGTGGGTTAATAATGTTAGCATGATCTAATGATCATGAGACCATGTTCCTTATTTTTTAGCTCACACTATATATATGTTGATATAGATCTAATATTTTTTTTTTTATTGAAACAGGAAAAAAAAAATATATCTAAATCACATCCAAAGAAGGAAGTGTCATGCTAATATTCAACCTAATAAATTCATTTTATCTTTTGCAATTCTTTATTTAAAAAAAATGGTCAAATTGATCAATTAGAATTTACGTTATTACTCAAAAAAAGAATAGTAAGGACAAACTGAAATGCTATTCTTGGATTGTGTGCCACTTATATAATTTGGATATCTAATCAAACCAATTAGATAATGAATTACTACTTCAACAATAT